CAGTAGTACAGAAAGTACTGTAATATTTAGCATTGTATAACTGATGCTACTGGTTCAATATGACTGAACGTTTACATCGAAAAATCTCTCTCTTAGCTCTGAGAGAAGCTTTAACAAAAATACTGTTCCAGAGAATCTCTTATTTATAAAAGGTTTTTATTCATACGAAAAAATTTATTTTAAACTTTTAAAATGTCATGATATTGATACATATTTTTGTTTTGAAACCAATTTTTTTAGATACTGAACAGTGTGAAAAATTTCTCTGACATGATAACCCCCCCCCCCCCCATGTATTTGTAAATTTTTTTCAACAAAATCAAATGTGTGAGTTGTGCCACCTGCGATTAAGAGATATTTAGGGGCTGTAGACGAAAGTTCATGTCACTCTCGATTATTAAGTGGCATGTCCAATTCACAACGATACCCTTTAAAACTTGTTCTGTTAAAGAAGAAGGCATTAGATTTCCATCATCTTCTCTTAAAAAATTGATTATTTTCGATTGCGGAACTTGCGCATTTCAACTTCAAAAACAATTGAGAAAATTTGAATTATCTATCTACACACACCTATAATAACCTAGATCTGCTAGTACACTCTAAATTAAAAAGTCGTAATTAAGCGATAAAAAGTCGCCTAATCGGGTGAAAATGTTGGATGGCACCCGCTTAACATAAATCGCTTATTTAAAAAAATCTCTTTGTTTCAACAAAAAAATCGCTTATATTGCAGAAGAAGTTTGCAAAATAATCGACACAAAATCGTTTATTTTCAACAAAAAAAAAATCGCACTAAAAAACGGTTATTTTTAACGAAATCACTTTTTTAAAAAAAAAAACGTTTTAATTCAATCAAAAGATCTCTTATATTAAAAAAAACTCGTTTATTTTCAACAAAAAAATCGTTTTAATTTAACCAAAAAATCTCTTATATTAAACAAAACTCGCTTATTTTCAACAAAAAAATCATTTTAATTTAACCAAAAAATCTCTTATATTCAACAGAATAATCGCTTATTTTCAACAAAAAAATTGTTTATAAAATAAAATTAGTTATTTAAACGAAATGTTATTTTTTTCCCGTGTTATACACTTTACAGTACATAAAGAATTGTTGCAGTATGTTGTTTAATTTCTCAATTTTTAGTTTAAAAGTTATTGAAAAATTTGAAAAGTTATATAATAAAGCCAACACTTGCAATTTTTTAGTTTAGTAAATACATATTGCATTAATTAGCTCAACCTCATCTGAGTAAAGAATGATGTGAATCCAGTCCTAAAGCATAACAAGTCATTTTTTTAGTTATATTGATGCGGATATCTTTGTTACACTCTTTAAACGTTCTTAGCACAAATTATCTAAACCCTATATCATTGCAAGCTAAGGATGAAACCTTTGACATCTCAGACTTAGAATTATTGATCTAACAGAATTCATTGTCCGAAATATCTAAAGTCTACGACATGGGATTGCAAAAATACAGGGTTTAGAAAATTTAGAAGTTTGTGATAGAACCTCGGTTCCATTTGTCAGGATAAAAGGAAAAATAAATCCTGGGGCTTTTATTACAAATGGTATCATCAGTGCTGAGGATCCGGATCTGTTGGATCAGCAAGATTTTAGTCTCCTGGATCTGGATCCAGATCCGTAAAAATATGTGGATCCATGGATCTGGATCCAAGGGGTAAAATATCAACCAAAATCTGCAAAAAAAATCTTGTTTAAGCTCCCAAAACCCAAATCTGAACTATTGAAAAAAGAGATTGTAAAAATTTTCTGATTTCTTAATGGGTCATCAAGTATAAAATAAGTGAAAAAAAATAAGACAAAAACTTAGAAATTCTGCCTTAGTAAAAAAGAAATGACTTGGATCCGGATCCATTTTTTCTAGTGTGGATCCAGGATCCGGATTCGGATCGCAATGAAAATTAAATGGATCCTAAACACTGCCTGAAATCCTACTAAAACAAATATGATATGATAACCAGTGCTTAGGATCCATTTAATTTAGATGCGGATCTGGATCGTGGATCTGCACTGGAAAAAAATCCGGATTCAGTTTATTTCTTTAAGATTTACTGAACTTATTTAACAAAAAATAATTTTCAAATTTTTGTTTTATTTTTTTTTCGCTTATTTTTATCCTAAAACTAGCCTGTCCTAGCCGTAGTGCTCGGCCCAGAAATTGTCTTAACCTAACCTAAATCAAATCAAATCAATCCTAACCTAATAATAATTTTGCTGAAATCATGTACAAAATATCACATATCGGCAACAATGCTTTTGTTTCCGAAATGCTTAACAAAGCTTGANAACCCCCCCACCCTCAGGAAAAAATTTCCCCGATCCTGAGCTTCTCAATCGTTTCGTTGTAATATGTTGTTTGATGTTTGATTTGAAGATTTGTTTTTATGAACTATTTAGCAAACTATTTGGAACTTTTAATAAATAATTTGAAAAGTAGAACAAATCTGTAAACTTTAAATCTTGATATCCCTCTGATGACTCTGATTTCTACGACGGAGACAGTAAATGCCTCAATGTATATAGTACAACTACAACGGTAAAATCCTTGAATCGGGTTGGATCATGCAGCGGTTGGAGCTAAGGGAACCCCCTTTAAGTAGCTTAAGACATAGAAGCAAATATTAGACACCATTGTTAATGTAAGAGGTTATTTTTTATATCAAATTAGTAATTTTTCGCAGTTAAATGGCTGCTCTAACAATTTAACTTCTAATCAAACGATGATTCGCAGGCAAAAATAACGATCTGGGGTCAGAATGTTTGAAAAGGGAGAATATGTAGAACAAGGTGGTGTTAGTTAAACTTCTTTTTCTAAACTGATCCCAGGGGTAAATCCAGGGGGATCATTGGAGCATTGTTTCTCCTTCAAGAGACTGTATTCGTAATTTCAAGCAAGGGCGTAAACAGGGGGTGGCAAGTGGGGCAGTGCCTCCTCCTAGACCTGTGAAGGGGGGGGGGGGCTCAGAGCCTTTAAATCTTAAATTAAAGTTTGAAGAACCTAAAAAAATTAATTGCTGTTCTGAATTGGGGGCTTAAACCACAAAAAAAAATATATTATTGGAGTGCTGTTTCCTGTAACCCGATTTTCCTTTTTAACTTCACAGAGTACACAGAGTTGAGATGAGTTCACAGAATTTCATTTTCAAAATGTCTTTTACTATCTCTAGTATTAATACTAACAGAACAAAAAATGAAATCTAGATTTTTTTAAAACGTTTTTTTCTGCTAGTTTTGTTTGAAATAGAGATAATGTAGTATTTGAATATTTGCACCCCCCCCCCCCCACCGGTTTATTTCTGTATACGCCATTGAATATATAAAAGTGGTCTTGCATTTAAAGATAAGCATTCCTTTAAAACTTCGACTGATCAAGGCTGTCGGATATATCCAGATTAATAAACTTTTAATTATTTAACACAATTGGTTTGCAAGCTGTTTATTTGAGAAATAATATAAGATACTTTTTAAAAATTGCAGAAAATAATAGATTTCTTGCGAAAAATATTCAATATTTTTTTATGGACGCAAGCAACAGATCAGCTGTGTTGAGTTTATAGTATATGCAGCCAACACTGGTATTTTAGATTTACACACCTTTCTGAATTCTCACTTGAAAATCTTCAGCGTTTCGAGTGAACAATTTATTCACCCCTGGAAAATAGATAAAAAATCTTCTCAAATAAAGTTTTAAAATATATCTCGAGTTCTTGGGGGGAATATGGGAATAATTTCAACGCGTTGTGCGCACCTATTTAGCTGTTGCATCCCTGATAGGTTTTAAGGTAAGTTTTAAAAAAATTATTTATAATTCCTACCCTCCTACACAGATAATGGAATAAGCTTTATTTTTTTATTTTACAATACTATTTGCCAAAACTATCATTAATATTCATAATATAAAAAGAAGAAATTACAGGGTGTCCCACATCATATTAGATACTAGATAGTCAATCGGTATAAATTACGATTTTCGGGACTAATCAGAAAATTTAAGAAGAATGAATCATTTTCAAAATTAGAATAAGGCTAATATAAGAATTTTTTGCGGAAAATACTAGTTTTTTTAGTATCATGGTTTTATTTTGGCATTAAAGCTTGGAGATAATTTAATATGACATGGGACGCTCTGTACATTCTATGAGCAACTGAACTAGATTGAACTTTGAAATGATTTTAATCATAAAAAAAGATTGTATGTGCGAAATCAAGATTTGCCCTTGTTAAATTAGTTTTTAAAAACCTTAATATATAATTTTAAAAGCACGTAAGTTGAACACTTGCCTCGAACTTGAAATTTCTTGTCCTGATGATGTAAACCTTTGATATTTTAAACTTTAAACATTTGATTTCTGATAGTATTCGACCTTGCAATATTAAAAATCTACAAAATCAGGTTTCAAATTAAAATTAGAGTACAGTGATAACCAAAAACTCTGAAATAGGAAGACGACTTTAAGAATCAAGTTATAGCTTTAAAAAGTCCAATAAACATAAGATACAGCAATTGTGCAGTGTAAACTAAATAAGTCACCATCAACTTAGCTTTTGGTGTGACTTCTAATGATTTGACGTACACTGATGGAAGAAATAGTGGGTTACAGCGGAGAGTGCAGTGATTAGTGAATTAGTAAAACTATTTGCTTTGTAACAACATCAAACAAACTTAAGTATTGCTATATTGTCGTCTTCCTATTCCCTTGTTTTCTAGTTATCATTGTATAAGGAGAGATTCGGGTTTTTATTGTTTTATGAGATACCTTTTTTGCATTGAATTTTCTAATTGAATCTTTGCGACCTAATGGTGTAAACCTTTGATATTTCAAACTTAGTTGACTCAAACAGAGTTGATAGTTTTCAATATATAATATTTAACGACATTAGGGTGCGAAGATATGAAGATTAGAAAATCAAAGTTTGTTTTAAAAACTCAGTTTCGTTATTACTGTAAAGAGCAGATCTTACTTAATCTTGTTTAGGTTGGAATCTCATAAGGTGCAGGAGTAACCCTGGCTGAGATAGCCCAAGGAAGATTAATCCTATTCCTCTGAAGATTGAACATAAAATGATCGTAAATGTACTTTTTCCGAGCAAAGTAGAAGTTTGTTGCAGTGAGAAAGAAACTTGTTATGACCGCCCCGACGGGAAATGTTTGCTCCTTGTTTTGGAAAAAGATGATTACAATGACTGATGCAAATACAATCACAACTGAAATGATCAAGGCTTTAAGATTAAACACTTTCTTTGAAGGTACGTTCTTCTCTGCTCGGGTGAGTTCAACGCTGTGGTTTTTGGCCAAGTACTTGTTGATGTATAGGTTTGCTGCGACCATGATGATGATTGCAGATCCAGAATGAATAGCATGCACGACAGAGGAGCTATTAATTGCTAGAGAAGCCTTTACTCCAGTTAGATAGCTACTCATCGGGGATACATATCCTTAATATAAGAAATCAAGCTGTGATGATGAAAGAGACTGTCGATTCACGGCGGTACCGTTTACATCTTTGTCCAATTTTTCATTTAAGGTTCTCTACAAAAGTGGCTTGCGGATACCAAAAAGGAAAATTGACAGTTCTTTAACACTTTTCCAGATAAAGATCCTTGTTGCTCATTTACGGACATAAAGGGTACCGTTGTGAATCGGCAAGCATCTCTTCAGATTAACCAAATTCCTTTAAAAAACTTGTCTTGGGAAAAATCTACTCTAGGTTAATATCTGAAATCCAAACATTAACTCAATAACGACGACCTCCTAATGAAAACCAAAATATATATGTTTTGCATCTAAATATACCTGAGGTGATCTGCTGGTATTGGAGAATAATGACAGGGAGAAGATACAGAATAAGGTTGAAGATCAGAAACCATCTTGATGTTGACACTGGATCAAAGCCAAGAAAACGTCCAAACTAAAATAAAAAAACATTTGGTTGCATTATTATGAGTTTTAACATAAGTGCAGCTCTAAATTATCTTTGACGGAATGTTCAGCTATTAAAAAAAAAAAAAAAAATGTTCCTAGGAGCCAGAGTTCTCTGTCCTATGTGCATTTAGAAAAAAAAGGTTTAAAGGTTATCTTTTTCGCGGATTTTTCCACAAAACATTTAACCAACAAAGAAGAATATATTTACTTTTTAATGATTTAAATATTTTTTATTCAATCAAAAGTTAAATGCTTGTACGCATTATTGATTAAGATTTGTAAAAATACGTTTACATATTATGTTTTTTTTTTTCAAACATTTTCTCTATTTTTATCAATTTAAAACTATTCCGTACATTTTCAATTTTTTTTCTGATCGGATTATGATATTTTGACAACACTTTATTGAACTATTTATAGAGCTGTATAACATACATAGTAGTTTTTCAGTTGTTCTAACTGGACTTATGTTTCCGCAATATGCAAAAACTGGGTTTGTCTATATTATTTTGTACAGAAAAGAGGGTGAGGGGGTTTAGGACCCAGTGGGTTATGCTCTACTTATGCGTGTTAGTGATACTGGTAATTGTATAGTTTTAATGAAAGATAAGTGCGCAGTTTTCTAAATGGACAATTAGAAAATATTTAGAAAAAAAGATATTTATACAGAATGACGCGGCAAGATGAGCAACTTCCGGCCACGTCACCAGCTATTTGATATATATTTTTACGTTTTGATAAATTTAGTTTCTTAAATTTAGTAATAAAGTATTTATTTAAACCGGTCGTTTATCAAACTGAGCGTAGCTAAATGACTTAGTTTACAGAAAGGAACTTAGTTTTTCCAAAATCTCAAATTTTCTAATCCCTATATCATTGCAACCATGATGGTTTAAACCTTTGATGTTTCAAACTCAGATTTCTATATCTAACAGAATTTATAGTATGAAATATCAAAAGTTGTGTTGCAAAGATATAACGATAAGAAAATCAGAGTTTGTGGCAAAAACTCAGTTGTTCCGAGAATTTTTTCTGAATTTTCCCCGAAATTCTTAGAATTTCTTGGTAATACTTATCCGGAAATTCCTGATAAATTAAACCATAATTCAATTAAACTTAAAACTGATAATTCAGATTTTACAATTAATAAATTCTGGATGTTAGGAAGAAAATTGCTCTTGGCTGTTATGATTATTTTTTCCCATAAATAGATTTGAGGAGAACTATCTATTAGAGATCAGGGTGTAATTTTATCTTATACAAAATATTTTACATTTTTTAGAATAACTGATTTTAAAATAATTTTCTAATGTACATCAGTTTTACAGATATGAGTTTTACATGAATAACTTTGCATTTATTTTCTTTTAACATTCTAGATTAGAAACTAACCTTAACTACAGCCAGCACCTTCAGGATTGCCATCTCCACACAGAGCCCGACACAGAGGAATGCAACATAGTCCACCAAGAAACTTAAGAAGAACGCCAGGATCATCGGCATGTGGGAGATCAGAGAAGAGTAGATCATGAAACCACCCTTGGTAAAAAAAAAAGTATTTATTATGAAAGAAATTGAGTCTTTGACACAAACTCAAATGTTTTAATCCATATATCTTTGCAAGCGGATGGTGTAAACTTTTGATATTTAAAACTTAGATTATTTGATATTACGGAAATCGCAGTTTGAAATTTCTGAGGTCTACAACCTTGTGTTGCAAAGATAGAAATTCTGAGTTTGTGGCAAAGACTCAATTCCTTTCCATAGCTTTATGTACAAATGTACAGATATATTGTACTGCAGTTTTTAGAGGAACGTAAACAAACGCTGCAGCTGCTTCCAGAAACTGCAATACGCTTTACACATGGCATGTTCCAGATATATATTGCCTTGGGTAAAAGAAACAACAAAGTAAATCTGCGTAATTTTGTGCCTTTCAACTTTAAGTTCTAGCAGATAGAACTGATCTTTTTTCAAACTTTAATCTTCTAATCCTTATATCTTTACAACCTGATATAGGCTTATTATATTTTGAAATTCTATATATTTGATCCAGCAGAATTCACAGTTTGCACAAATATAGAAATTAGATCGTTAGAGTTTGAGACATGTAATCAGATTATTTATGAACTAACTATTTAACTTTGTTGTTAAACCATACCTGGACAATTAAGAGAAGGTTGCCAAGTTCCACGATGTAGTGACTGATAACGATGATAATGTTGAGCTTAACATGAGGAACAGAGTTCTTGTAAATTATAATCATGTGAGTGCAGAGGTTGCTCATCAGAACCATGATCAACTCCAATATGAAGACTGTAAACGACGTCGAAAATTCGGATTTTTCTCCTGATGACCTTTTGCTCCTTTGACGCTCTTGTTGAAGTCTGATGAGAAGTGATGTGAAATTTCTCAAATTTGGCAAAATATCTTCATTTCTTTTGGTTTTGGTCTTCTCACTAGAAAAAGCTTCGAAAACGAGGTCGATATCATTTCCTTCGATATCATCTAGAGTAACTCTTTCATTGATATTACCAGATGCAGGTTGTTGAAGGTAGAAGGTGGTTGCCAACATGATTAGTATTATGTGCGGGCGGAACCAAGATACCAGCATCCTACCTTTAGAGTAGAGGGTCTTATGAATACTGTGATATTTCTGCTCTCATGCACAATTATTTCTTAAATATTGTATATTTTAAAGAGAAATAAATGGATCGAATACACATTTTTTTAGCGTTTGTGGAACCAGAGTGATATTTAAAATAATCACTTTTTGTAACAACAATCAAAATTCTAGTTCTTGATTGAATATGAAAATGAAAAAAATTTCAAAAGAAAAACTTCTCAAGTTCCAATCCCCAAATGTTTGGTGTAAACCATTTATATTTTAAACTTGGACTATTTGATTATTATATTATATTATTATAGTTTGAGATGTGAAATATCTCAGACATAAGGTTTCAAAGATATAAACAAGGATGAAGAAAATTAAATAAATGAATTTATTAAATTTTCTACTGAGCAATAGTTCTGAATTTATTTATATTTTTCATTATGATACAATTAATTTCGGTTTACTGGGACCTCATGGTATCATTAATTTGTTCTCCAAGAACGGATAAAATTACGTATTCAATCCCTTATAAACAATATTTATTGTTCCTTCATCATTCTTTTCAGAATATTTGGAGCATTATTATATTGAAACATATTCCTGTACAGTGTACATATAGCAAATATACCAAATATTTTACGGTCAAAATATCATTCATCTTTCGTTTCACGCATAAGGACTTTATACAAAATATAACATGTTTGTTTTCAATATATTTAATATAAAAATATAGCATGTTTGTTTTCAATATATTTAATATAAGAATATAACATGTTTGTTTTCAATATATTTAATATAAATATATAACATGTTTGTTTTTAATATATTTAATATAGAAATATAACATGTTTGTTTTCAATATATTTAATATAAATATATAACATGTTTGTTTTCAATATATTTAATATAGAAATATAACATGTTTGTTTTCAATATATTTAATATAGAAATATAACATGTTTTTCAATATATGTAATATAAAAATATAACATGTTTGTTTTTAATATACTTAATATAAAATATAACATGTTTGTTTTCAATATATTTAATATAGAAATATAACATGTGTGTTTTCAATATATTAAATATAAAAATATAACGTGTTTGTTCTCAATATATTTAATATAAAAATATAACATGTTTGTTTTCAATATGTTTAATATAGAAATATAACATGTTTGTTTTCAATATATTTAATATAAAAATATAACATGTCTGTTTTCAATATATTTAATATAAAAATATAACATGTTTGTTCTCAATATATTTAATATAAATTTATAACATGTTTGTTTTCAATATATTTAATATAAAAATATAACATGTTTGTTTTCAATATATTTAATATAAATATATAACATGTTTGTTTTCAATATATTTAATTTAAATATATATCATGTTTGTTTTCAATATATTTAATAAAAAAGTAAAAGAATGTTAAAAAGGTTTAAGGTGTTCAAGGGACTCTCAATTTAAAGTGTTGCATGCCCGATGCATTTCTCGAAAAGTGTTTTATTCTGACAAATTCCTGCATTGTTTCTGTACCATAAATCTTTTATTAAGAGAAAACGAGGAAATAACTTGGGAATCTCAATTTAGGGACAATTTTAACGAATCATGAATTCAGTTATATTTTATTTTGAGCTAAGAACATCCTAAGAGAATTTAATCAACGCAAACTTAAATTTTCTAATCCCTATATCTTTATACCCAGATGATGTAAACAATTGATATTTCAAACTTAGATTTTTGATCTTTCACAATTCAAAGTTGTAAATATCTAAAGTCTAGACATTAAGTTTCAAAGATATAGGGATTAGAAAATCTAATTTTTTGGCAAACAGGAACCTCTACTTAAAAATATAAAAATTAAGATATGTAAAATGCAAATCGATGCTTTTGATTAAAATTTTTCATTTAAATTTGAATTTTATTTCTATATGTGCTGAGTAAGATGCATTTTATTTTCTCGTAAACTCTTGAAATCACTATAACTTGACAAATCTATTTGTGATATCCTTGTATTTTATTAATCTGAATAAAGTTTTGATAACTTAAACGTTGACTATTTTTTCTACCATATTTCTATGACATCGGTTAGGAAAGGTATTATGATAAGAAAATCAGAGCTTATAGCCAGTGATCGATCCTAGATCATCATTTGAAAGCATTGCCTTCTCTTTCAGTGTGCATGGAAATAAAATCAGTTTCATCCTTTGTAGATAACCCTTCAGGTAGGGTTTACATTTTTGAGAAAGAAAGCGCAAATTTTTGCTTTCGTTGTGCTACATTTTTGCACGAAAAAATAATACTTTCTGCAATCATTCGCAAACTAAATTTCGCTATTCCGCTTTTGCGTTATTCTGCAATTTTGCAGAACAAATTCTCAGTAAAAGGTTGAAGAAAGGTGTATCAGATTGCACTTTTTTGCATATTATTGTAATTTTCAAAAAGGAACTGATTACTTGCCTAAAAATCTTTTTTTTGCAACCTGATGCATGTGGCACACTGCATATCAAGATGTGCACGATCTCACACAAAAGTCGAGCAGTGTTTTGCCAAATACTCATTTTAAGCTTAATTAAGATATAGAAACAGACGCGTTGTATTTTTAAAATGTATATGTCTAGGCCTACACGAAAAGTATGAGTGAGTTGGTGAGGTAAAACCAAAGGCCAGGACGTTGCGACACTTCAAAGTCGAGGCTGTAAAAAATTTGATGACTAGGTTTCAGTGTTTGTCTTTGATATTTTAATCATGTGTATTCGACTAGAAGTAGTCAATATTTGAATCAATTTCTTTTCTATTAATTTTTGTCCTTTAATTTGTAGAGTTTGTAACTAAAGGTAACCAATTGAGGGCAGCATAATCATAATTTATTTGTATGTAAAGGAATTGAGTTTCTGCCACAAACTTTTATTTTCTAATCCCTATATCTTTGCATTTTAATGTTGTAGACCTCTGATATTTTAAACTATAAATTCTGTTGGATGAAATAATCTGAGTTTGAAATATAAAAGGTTTACACCCAGTGGCGTAAATAAGGGGGTTTATTGGGTAATATCTTTAAAATTTACACGAAAATAATTTAAATGTGCAGATACTTCAGATATTTCAGATTTTAAGTCAACATATTCTAAATGATTCTAATTTCTAAAGTAATAGTCAATGGCATTACAATTAGATGTTTCTTTTGATAGAAAAAAAGGGTATGGGCAAGAAGAATACATTATTACTTCTAAATAATGTAATTTCCATATTAGATTTATTTAAGATCTTAACATATACTACATTGACGACAAGACAATTTTATAAATTAGAAATTACTATTAGAATATTAACAAAGACAATATTTTTTCAAAGTTTTGCAGAGTAGCTTTTCTAATGATTTAAAAAATTAACATCTTTTTACTCTAAGAGTAAAACTATATTTTATGTTACTTAAAATAAATTCAGTTTTTTTACAGATCTTTCTAGTTAATGTAAAATGAATGACTATAATGAAGGATATAAAACAAGGTGAAAGCTGAAAGATAGGAAATGAAGCCTTTATTTGATAGAGTTTGTAAATGCCAAAAATGAGTGGAAAATGCAAATCAAACCCAACTTTAACCAATAGTTTGATATACATCATGATATTTTTCTAGGGGGGGGGGGGTAAAAAAAACTCTACATAATCCTTATTTACGCCCCTGTTTACACCATCAATATTGGAAAGTTGCAAAGATACAGGGATTAGAAAATTTGTGCTTGTGGCAATATAACCTTTAGTTGTTTGATTCTGTACTGTAACTGTCAATTTTTGTCAATTTGCAATAGCATGGTTTGCGTAAAAATGTACATTTTGCGTAATACTTCCGGTTTTGCGCAAATTACGCAAAAAATATTTGCGCGAAAATTACTCAAACTTTGCGCAAAAATTATAGTCAATTCGTGGAAACCATACCTGCAGGCTCCACAACTCCAAACGTGGGCAAATATTTTTCAAAAACAATCTTTATCTTTTGTTTTTGAATTAAATTTTGTTGTCAAATGATATTTCTACTTATCTGACAAGAAATAAATTGAGTAGAGTTTAGTAGGTTCAGGTTTAAAGTGCCAGAGAAACAATTAACAAATTNGGTTATAGAAAAGGGGGGGTTAAGGGGCATTAAGCATTGAAGCACTCAACTTCCTATTTAATCATTAATCATTATATTTTTGAGTATCAAGTAGTAAATTCGGAATTTTTCCGGAAACAATATCGTAAAACGGTAACCGCAGTGATCACCTCCTGAGGCAGCGTTGTTAATTCCACCGCTCGGTCCAGAAACTAATTAAAGTAAATCCGCCCAGAAATATATAATAAATACTGCAACCTGGTGGTTGTGCACCTTCGATAATTCAAACTTAGATTCTTTAATTTCGAAGAAATTTATAGTTTGAAATATCCCGTTCAATCATAACTTGCCTCTAATTTTCATACTTGTGTGTAAAATCAAAGAGGAGATACAAGGTCACAAATTTGTACCAGTAATGTCGCATAAATATGACCTTCTCTTTCTGTCCAATTGAGCGTAAAACCAGTTAATATTTCAGTCGATTTAAAATTAGAAATAATATTTCAATTAGAAAATCTTTATAAATTTTGTATTTCTGGTTTCAATGCTGAATCCAGGGGCGTACGAAGGGGGGGGCGACCCCCCCCCCCCACCACGCATGCCCCCTTGAACATATCCCATTTTGAAACAATTACCGGATTTCAGCTCATGTCGCGTTTTCGGAACAAATCCTGGTTTTGAGACAATTACCGGATTTTAGCTCATGTCGCGTTTTCGGAACATATCCTGGTTTTGAGACAATTACCGGATTTCACCTCATGTCGCGTTTTCGAAACGTATCCTGGTTTTGATTTGAGACAATTACGGGAATTCATATCAATGTCAATTTTCAAGTATTTAAGCACTTATGAAACAAAACAA